CGCCTCGGTGATGTCCACGAGCTCTGCACCTGGCTGAGTCATTGTAACCTGTACACGCACGATGTAGCATCATTGTACACAATTGAACACGCATGTGTGTAAGGTGCGTTAGGACACTCCACGGACTGGATCAATTGTCGGATGTTGGATGGATCTGGAAGCGGGTTGCACTGCACCAGAAAAGTTGGGCAACGCAGAAAGCAGAGTGAAAGTGTAATAACACGCCAGGAACTACAACTTGACCGGATAAAAAACTAATTTAACTTCCAAAGATGTTAATTCAGGCTTAAACTCCGTATTATAGGGCTCCTAGTCCACAAATATCTTCGTTACAATTGTAGATAAATGGAAGTTCATGTGAACATGTCATTGAGTACGATATTCCGCAAGAAGCGTCTGCTAAACAATAATGTTCTAATATGTTGGATATGTCAATATTACCAGAACTCATCATATAATGATGCATTTATTTTTTGCTCACTTCTATTAATTCTAACCTGTGTTAATATTAGGAAATTTGAAGTTTAAAGGATCGCTACTTGTTTTGGATGCATTTCATTCCATTCAGATGTTAATTTTCCCTTTCAGTAAGCCTAGGTTGTGCTTGAGAATTCAGCTTCTTGGCAAAGAATAGGGGATTATGTTAGTCATTTTGTGTGCCACGTGTGCAAGGTATCTGCTCACAGCCACTTCCATGCACGCGAGGTAAATAAATCAGGTCATTGTTTCCAGCACCTTATTCTGGCAATCATTCAGAATACGTAAAACTAGCTCACGATTGTAATTGTGATTTAAGTTCTTACGGAGCAAGCCAAACATAGGCTGATGTGTGACATCTTCGGCCGTTGATGATGATGGAAACAAATAACATTGATGCGCAATGATACGGATTATTATGAACATAACTTAGCTCAGCCGGATCATGATGGGTTTAAAAAATAAATTTGCAAAAAGCCGCATTGGCGGTCGCATTGGGTTCTGGAGAGGCACACCGGTCTAGATCAGATAATAATTCCCTTCAGTGCTCTACTGTGCGTACGGAAGGTAAAAATTCGCCCCAGAGCATGACCATATTTTAAAAACGTTGACACCCCGGCATGTTTTTTGTTGTGTAGTGTTGCGTTGTGCTGCGACAGTGTCAAAAGTTTGTCGTATCGTAGCTTGTGGCTCTTCTTCCTGTTCTAGGTCCTGTTACGTGAACAAATAAAGGCGAGCCAAATGATGCAGTGAACTACCATCTTGATTAAGTCGTAGAAAGGCAACTGATCTTAGGCGTCCAGGCGTCACGCTGCAGGCGTCAGCCACGAGTGTGCCAAGGGACCTCCTGAAGGGGTTCCCCGACCGGATGTCTAACACACGCACTGGGGACCCATGTGCAGGCTAAAGCTCAGCGGTTGCCCCGACCCAGCCCCCCCCCCCCTCCCTAGGCACATGTGGTCCTGCTCCGCTGTTATCTATTATCTTGTATCAAATAGTTGTGAAACGCTCGTTTGTGGCCGAAAGACCTTTATTCCAAACAACCTCACCAAACCAATTGTGTTTGAATCACGCATAAAACCATCACCTTAGTCAACTGACAGCTGATGTACGTTGATGCGAGTGATCGTTTTCCTTCACGCCAAAAGGCGCGATGATAATGGTTTCTCGTGACGTTAAGCAATACGCTGCCAATGATATTTCACGATTCTTGTTGCGTTTCTTTGCCATCATGCATGCTTGGGTGATCTTGCATATCATGAATTGCTCTGAAGTTGAGTAGACACTGACAGTAAAGAGATGTTAAAAGTTGAAGCTGCTTTTTCGAACGTGTGTGTACTCTATTTTCTCCAGCACACTTGTGTCCCACCCTTTCTCACTCAAACTCCGCTGACGCGCTGTATGTGCGTGGAGTTCGAATTCCTACCTGAATAAGTATTTCTGTGCGGTATGTCTAGCACACGAAGTGCATGCTTGAAATGTGTATGCCAGCGCTAAGTAAATTATGACATTCACCGGGGACGCCTGCCCGGTATGATACAGGCGTGTAGATTTTTGTTCTGCCGTGATTGCTCTACCTTCCCCCGTGTCACTTTGGGCCCGCAGTAATTGTTGAGGGTCCGGTATACTGTAAAGTGAATTTCTTTTTAAACTAAGGAGTGTCGAAACATCACGAGGAGCCCTCTTCAATCATCGTCTGTTGACAATGGCAAACCAGGTTGATTGTAGAAAGGTTGCTAGTTGAGCTGGCTTCTCAGTGACCATTCTCGTCTTGGAAGATCCGACCTTTTTTCCAAACCAAGAAGTTGAAAAATCACGTAACCTAGCTTTAACAGAACAAGCTCTTAAGGCCGAAATGAAACATCCGGATGCTCGGCGTTTATGGTGGGCGGTGAGCGGACGAAAAACGCAACATTTCTGAATAGATTTCATTCGAACACTTAAGGATGCCAATTCGGCCCTCAACATTTTGTTCTTTGCTTGATCACACCTCCCTGTGCTCGACCGTCCTAACTTTCACATTTTTGCTTGTTGTGAATTCGAACAACCACACAATCACATACACACCATCTTGGGTCGCGACACCGCCGCCTCCGCCGCGTGCGCCGCCATCTTGAGCCACCGCGACAACTACCGCAGAGCAAAATACGCCGGCCGCCGGCCGCGCGAGCGCGCGAGCCGGCCAGCTGTAGACTCCGCCTGGCAGCACGGCGGCACAGTCAGTCACACCCCCAGCCAGCAGCCCAGTCCCACAGCTTCCTCTGAAGGGACGCGGCTCTTAGCATTTAATGTGGGCCCAAAATAACACGGGGCGCGGTAGGGAAATCACGGCAGAACAGAAATCCACGCCCCTGTCTCATACCGCGCAATTGTCCCCCGGGATTTCATAGTTAACCTGGCGCTTCCTTACACGTTTCATACATCCACTTGGTACCTAGACATACCGCACGGAAATAATTATTCAGGCGGGAATTCAAACCCCAAGCGAATATCCCGCGTCATCGGAGTGTGAGTGAGGGTGAACGTGACATATGAATGTGCAGCAAACAATGCAGCACATACACGTTGGAAAAAAGTAACTGAATCATGTTATTTGTATAGTGGTGAGCAGGGAGTCAAATGCGATCCCTCCTATGGGGTTCACTACTTGAAATCGAAATTCTGAGTTCATCAAAAGAATTTCCAACAGACTGGTATCACCGATGAAACCGTTTCGGCTTGATTTAACAAGAAAACGCAACTAAATATTAGTAGTAAAAAGTACAAAAAAGGAATGGTCTCTGTAATCTGCTTATCCAAACACTATCCTCTTCTCAAAAGCATTTTATCTCGACGTACGATTGGCAAGCTTTGTACAAACAAAATCTAAATCATCTGGTTGAACGCTGCCAGAAGATGTAACGAAAATACGAAAGCCATCAGTTTGTTGTGGCTATTAGGCTTATGATCTGGGTCAAGAATATTTGACTTACGCTTCTCTTCCACTGGGTGCTGCATCGCAATCGATCACAGACACCATTACAAATCCGCACCACAAAGTCCGCTGCAGGTTGTATAAGCTCCTTTGCTTGAGCTTTAAATAATAATGGATAACGAGCCGGCATCAAATCCCTCAGATCTTGATCATGTGTTCCTGCTGCCCTTTGGGAAACTCAACACGCCTAGGAAGCAGGTCTGTATATGCTATACATCCACCATAATTTGACAAGGCTGCATATTAGCACTGTGGCTCACAGGCAATGTCTGCTTCACTTTGTCCATCCTCTTCATTTTCCTGGCACCGCCTATGACACCCGGGCAGGAATTTTTGTTGCCGTACTAGGCTAACCACGTCGCGAAATAAACCATAGTTAGGTATTGGATTTCGAATCTTCAAATTTCTCTCAGATACCGGGGATGAATGGGCAGAGAGTGCGATTGCAGCAGACTTTAAAAAACTTTAGCATTTGTCCTGCAATTAGACATGCTATTTCAAAAAGATGACTTAGATAACAAAGCCCTTATCGAAAACGTTGAAAACGCGCTCCACTCAACGAAAATTGATGGCGTCTCCACGCACCCGTACTACGGAGCTTTCAACTTTTGCCACCTGGGCTCAAAAACACACCTCAGGATGTTTCTGAAATACATCTCGAACCATTCAAGGGAGGCTAAAACTGCAAATGTCTCGCCACTGATCTTGCGACCGTTTTGAAATGTTCCGGTGGCAAACTAAGATTAATGCAATAAACGATTTTTGTTCCATACTTCCGGCTAGTATTTCAGGTAACAACTCTATCACACCTTGTAGCGTTGGTTCGGCATGTAGCACACACGCAGAAAGATGCCAGGCAGGAAAGGATGGACAGATGGCAAGGCTCATAAATTTGCGTTACATGGACCTCTTTGTAAAAAAGGGTTGGTAAAAAATCACACATAAACACTGGAAACGGAGGAAAGAGGCAGGAGAAGGGCATGGGAGTGATCTGACATCGTTCGTCTTGAGTCTTGCAAATACATCGTTTTATGGAGGAAGGCGAAACATCATATTAACCATAGCGTCATGAAACTAAATAAACGCTCACGTTCTTTATTCAGAAGCACTCCTCGGCTGTGTGGAAAGTCGCATTGAATCGTCCGAGGTTAATTGCGTAATCTTCGGTGTTCGACCTTATACGATGGTAGTAATAGAAGTCACTCGCTAAGTAGCATCGAATGCACTTTCTGCGTGATATATATATATATATATATATATATATATATATATATATATATCTCTCTCTCTCTCTCTCTCTCTCTCTCTCTCTCTCTCTTTTTCCTTTCTGTGACGTTGAGCCAGCTTACGCTTGGCACACATACTTTGGAAAGAGCTCTAACGCGTTCGTTAGAATACGCGTCAGTAAATCCAGAAATGATTACTTATCGACCATACCGCGAAATGTCAAGTTAAAAGACATCCCCGCTGTCGCTCACCGTCAGTGCGGCTCCAGAGCTAGGCCAGGGAAGGTCGTAGGCCACCCATCAGGACCCAGAGCGTCAGCGTGATGGTACCGTGGCTCAAAGTGGCCGTCGGCTCTGCTCTCGCCCTCAATTACTCCATACCGCTGTTGGTGATCGGCCGGACCAAGACACTGCATGACGAGCCGATGGCACTGCTCGTGGCGAACCTGGCGCTCGGCGACCTACTGTTTGTCCTGAATCTGCTGCTGATTGGTAGCCTGGACCTCATTTTTAACCACGTCCTGTATGTCGTCTGCCAGTCGGTTCAGATAGCTGCCAGCTCTCTTGCAATCTCTCTGAAGATGGCGCAGATGCTGGTCGCCCTCGACCAGTTCATTGCCGTCGTCTATCCGCTGCATTACCGCGACATCATGGACCGCTGGATTAAATGGCTGCTTGTTCTGCCTTGGCTGGCTGTCCTGTTTACGGCTGTGGCGGGGGCCGCCTGTTCTGCCCTCCAGTTAGAGACGGTCTACCAATTCGGACAGCGCGTCGGAGAATTGACTGAAGTTGGACAGGGCTGCCGCTTGGAAAAGTTGCCGAGCGTTTATCTGTTTGTTGTTGAAGCCTTTCTTTTCCTCTTTTCGGTAGCCACCGGATTTTTGTTCGTCCTCGCTGGAATCACAGGACTTCGACACAATCAGGTTGGGGCGATTTCGGCAGGAATCTCTGATGGCACTGCAAACAGCTTTGCTCTGACTCGTACTAAATCTTTCAAGAAAATTGTCAAAGTTTTGTCGCTCTTCGTCATTCTCGACATCATCGGTGGTGGTCTCAGGATCGGCACCCGCTGGATCAGCATGCCCACACTAGCATCAATACTCCACCTTACTCGTCTCGGCTGCTTGGCTGCAGGAGCGTGGGTCTACAGCATGAGCCACGTGCTCATCCGCAAGGCGTTTAGCAGCAGCCTCCAGCCCCTTCGAAACCTGTTTCGTCGTGGGGAATCTGGCAGCTCTGTCCAACCATCAGGCTAAACGCAAGATCGGCGTGCAGCTCCTCCGCTGTTGAAACATCTAGGTACAGCGCTGTTGAATGACGAACGTCCACGCCCAGTTTTCACTCGTTCATTGGTTGTCCTTAGCTGTTTAATGTTTCGAAGCCTCGACTCCTCGGGTGACTCCGTGGTTCTCACTCCATATGAGATAGAGACTCCTCTGATACTCTTCGGGTGCCCGCCCTTTCACTGTTGTCCTTGGCCGTGACGAGCACAACGAAAGCCACTGAGCAGCTCGGTGATGGCCACGAGTTCTGCACCTTTCTAAGTTAATGTGACACGTGCACCGACGTGTAACATCATTGCATGCAATGCAACATTTATGTGTGTAATCTGCGTTAGAGCGCTCAACGGACTGCATCAATCACCGGATGTCGGATGGATCTGCAAGCGGATTGCACCGCGCGAGAAAAGCTGGGCAACGCAGGAAACAGAATGAGAGTGTTATAACACAACAGTAGCTACAACTTCACCGGATAAACTGCTTTAACTTCCACACATGTTAATTCAGGCTAAAACTACAACCGAAATAACCATATCATAGGGCTCCTAATCCAAAATTCGCTCCAATTAATCCCACTTCGCCCCAAAATATCACGTTTTTTAAAAACTTTGATACCTTGACACGTTTTTTTGTTGTGTAATGTTGTGCTGTGTTGTGGCGGTGTTGAAAGTTCGTCGTATCGTAGCTTGTGACTGTTCTTCGTATTCTAGGTACTGTTACGTGAACAAATAAAAGCGAGCCAAATGATGCAGTGAACTACCACCTTGGTTTCATCGTAGAAAGGCGACTAATCTTAGGCACCAAGGCGTCACGCTGCAGGCATTAGCCACGGGTGTGCCAAAAGACATTCTGAAGTGGTTCCCCGACCGGGTGTCTAGCACTCACGCTGAGAGCCCATGCGCAGGCTAGAGCTCAGCGGTTGCCCCCGCCCCCTCCCTCCCCCAAGCACATGTGATCCTACTCTACCGTTATCCATTATCTTGCGTCTGATAGTTCTGAAGTGATCGTTACTGGTCGAAAAGTCTTTATTCCAAACAACCAAACATAACCAAACGTGGTGGAACCTCGCAAGAAACTACCACCTTAGTCAAATGACCGTTGATGTACGTTCATGCAAGGGATCGTTTTCCTTGAAGCCAAAAAAGCGCGATGATAATTGTTTCTTGTGGCCTTGAACAATACGCTGCCAATGACATGGCGCGATTCTTGTGGCGTTTCTGTGCCATCATGCTTGTTTGGGTGATCTTGGATATCTTGAAATGCTCCGAAGTTGCGTGGACACTGAAGTAAAAGAGATGTTAAAAATGTTCACTCGTCTGGTTTTGACACCTTCATTCCCTATGCATAGCGCCGCGCCAAGGGCTGCAAGAAAACAAGGGTAAACGTTCCCTCGTGCGGAAGGTCGTACACGGGGAACATTCTTGCTGTGCAAAAAAGAGAACTGTTGAGGACTTGAGTTCATCGAGCCAAATGGTTGATATGTTCTTCGATACATCATTGCCTGATTACGTCATTGTACCTTGCACAACATTGATAGAGAAGCAACTGATGGCCGTGTGTCTGGAAATGGCGGTAATAAACGCCAGATGTGAACAAGGCGACCACTTTATTTTTTCCATTTTCTTGCAGCGTAACATTAGATTATCGAGATTGCGTTTATACAAAGCTTGCCAATCCTACAGCAAGTACGTTCACGTCAAGTATGTGTGTAAAGCTCGAATTCCCACCTGAATAAGTATTTCTGTGCGGTATGTCTAGCACACGAAGTGGATGCTTGAAAGGTGTATGCCAGCGCCAGGTAAATTATGGTATTCTCCGGGGACGCTTGCGCGGTATGATACAGGCGTGTGGATTCCTGTTCTGCCGTGATTGCTCCACCATTTCCCGTGTTACTTTGGGCCCACATTAGTTGCTGAGGGTCCGGAATGCTGTTAAGTGAATTTCTTTTTAAATAAGGATTGCTGAAGCATCAGGAGGCGCCCTCCTCAAACATTTTCTGTTGACAATGTCAACCCAGGTTTATTGTAGAAACGTTGCTAGTTGAGCTGGCTTGTCAGTGACCATGTTCGTCTTGGAATATCCGACCTTTTTCCAAACCGAGTAGCTGAAAAACTACGCAACATAGCTTTAACAGCACAAGATCTCAAGCCTTAAAGGCAACACCCGGATGCCCGGCGTTGCAGTCTCCACGGGCTACGCGGCGTTCGCTCTTTTGCTGATATTTAGATAGTGGCTGGTGAGCGGACCAAAACAGCATCGCTTCTCAAAAGATTGCATTTGAACACTTAAGGATGCCGATTCAGCCCTCAACAGTTTTTTTGTTTCGCTTCATCACACTTCACTAAATCTCAACCATCCCAACGTTTACATTTCTGCTCGTTTCGAATTCAAAACACCACACAATCACATACACACCATCTTGGGTCGTGACAACGTCACTCCAGCCGCGTTCGCCGCCCCATGAGCTACGGCAACAACTACCGCAGAGCAACATACGCCGTCCGCCGGTCGCGCGAGCGCGCGAGCCGGCCAGCTGTAGACTCCGCCTGGTGGCACGGCGGGACAGTCAGCCCCCCCCCCCGCCCCCCCCAGCCGGCAGCCCAGTCCCACACCTTCCTCTGAAGGGCCGCGGCCCACAGCATTTAATGTGGGCTTAAAATAACACGGGGCACGGTAGGGCAAGCACGGCACAACAAATATCCACACCCCTGTGTCATACCGCGCAAGTGTCACACGGGGATTCATAGTTTACCTGGCGCTTGCTTGCGCGTTTGAAGCATCCACCTTTGGCACCTAGACATACTGCACGGAGCTAATTAGGCAGGCGGGAATTCAAACTCAACACAAATATCCTGCGTCAGTGCAAGGTGGGTGAGTGTGAATGTGACACATGAGGGTGCAGCAAGCAATATAGTACATACACGTTGGAAACAAAACAATGTAAATGAAGAATATTACTTGCATAGTTGTGAGCAGGGAGCCAAATGCGATTTCTTCTACAGGGTTCACTGCTGAAATCGATCTTCAGAGTTATTTTAAAGAATTTCGAAGAGAATGGTATGATGGATCAAGTCGTTTCTGTCTGATTTAGCAATAAAACATAACGAAATAAGTAGTAGTAAAAAGTACAGAAAAGTAGAATACTCCAGTTAATCTTCTTAAACAAACTTCATCCTCTTCTCAAAAGGAGAATGCCTTGATGTACGATTGGCAAGCTTTGTACAACCAAAGTCTAAATAATCTGGTTAAACGCTGCCAGAAAATCTAACAAAATTACCGCTGCCATCAGTTTGTCGTGGTTATTAGGCTATTAATCTAGATTAAGAATATTTGACTTAAGCTTCTCTTCCACTGGATGGTGGATCGGAATCGATTACAGACACAACCACAAACCGGCACCACGAAATCCGCTGCAGGTTGTATAAGCTACTTTGCTTGGCCTTTTCATAAGAATATGTAACGAGCCGGCATATCTTGGGAATTGCTATGCACTAAATTTAGGATCCATGCAATCAGATTTGGATCATGTGTTCCTGCTGCCCTTTGGAAAACTCGACACGCCTAGGAAGCATGTCCGTATATGCTATACATCCACTATAGTTTGATGAGGCTGCATATTAGCACTGTGGTTCACAGGCATTGCCTGCTTTACTTTATCCATTCCTTTCATTTTCCTGACACCGCTAAGGCAATATTATTGGTTAACGACCTATTCTGATACTCTAGGAACGCACTGCCTCCTTTGTCCCAATGAACTGTTATCAAAATGCGGCCAAGAATTTGTGTTGTGCTGGGCTAGCGACGACGCGAAATAAACCATTGCTAGGTAGTGTTTTTGGATCCTAATATTTCTGTCAGTAGTTAGACTTGCTATTTCAAAAAAATGGCTTAAATAAAACGAAACCTAATCCAAAACGTTGAAAAGGCGATCCGCACACCGAAACTTGAAGTCGTCTTGACGCATGCGTACTACGGAACTTTCACCTTTTGACACCTGGGCTCAAAAACACACCTCAGGATGTTTCTGAAATACATCTCGAACCTTTCAAGGCAGGCTGAAACTGCAACTGTCTGGCAACTGTTTTGCGATCGTTTTTAAATCTTCCGGTGGGAAACTAAGATGAATGCAACACACGATATTTGTTCCATGCTTCCGGCTAGCATTTCAGGCGACAACTCTCTCCTACCGTGTAGCGCTGGTTCGACATGTAGCGCATACGCAGAAAGATGCCAAACAGGAAAGGATGGATGATGGCAAGATTCATGAATTTGCATTACACGGACTTCTTTGTTAAAAGGGTTGGTAACAAAGTCACATATGCATTGGAGAAGGAGAAAAGAGGCAGGAGAAACGCCCAGGAAACAGGGTAAGATTGTTAGAGTTTGCCAGGAACCACAACTGGAAGGGATCGAAAACTAATTTGACTTCAAAAGATTTTAATGCAGGTTCAAACTCTTACCGAAGAAACCATATTATAGGGCTCCTAGTCCACAGATATCATGGTTGCAATTATGAACAAATGGAGGCATCCGAGATGGGTGATGTGAACACGTCACCGAGTATGATTTTCCATACGAAGTGTCTGCTAACTAATGATCACTAAGATATTGGACATGCCATTGTTATCAGAGTTGCTAAAAATAATGAGGCGTCGATCTGACATTCACGTTTTGAATTTTGAAGGGAATACTCCACACTTGACGATATTGAGATCAGCATCAGATATGATTGGTGAAGCTTAGTTGTAACTATAGATGAGACTTCAAGGCTCAAAAGCGACGCTAAGTAGCAAAATTTTGACGTTTTAAAAATGCGCCCCACCACGTCATCATTGATGGCGTCGTGGAATGGTTTTGTGACGACAGCAATACCTGGCAGCATTTGGCAGCCTGACCTAAAATATGCCTCAAAACGCGCTTGTGGTGACGGCAGCCAGCCATTCTCGTGGCGGGCGCCGTGTCAGGTGGCTGGTCAG